AAGGGTTTTTCGTCATTTTGTTTAATTCACTTAATCATCCTTCAAAATTTGTTGTATCGGATAAATATAGACTTAGTTCTATTATACATTGATTGATTTCACTCTCATTCTGGCGTTTCAGTTTTCTTAAAGTGCTTGCTGTATTTGGTAACGTTCTTGGAAATGCTTTTGGAAGCCACTTTATTCGATCCACATGAGGGGATGGTTTGAATTCTGTAGTAAAAACTAAGGGAGATAACTCGTATTAGTTAATTCTTTTTCCTTGTAAGACTGCTTCTGTTTCTTTTTTTTTCTTTTGTACAGTAAGGGTCACCCTTTATAAGTCCCGGGGCCATTCGAGGTAGACGGTTACGTTAGGTGACAATTTGAGCGGATAGAAGTGGAAGATAACGGTTGCACAGGTTAAGATTGCAGTGATCAGGGAAACATCCCCGTGGGAGTCTGTCCACGGGGAAGTGATTCCCGAGAAGAAGCTGTTCGATTGGGTCTTATTTCGCACCGGTGGAATACGGAGGTAATATGTAGGATTTGCTACTATGTAATGGCATTGAGTGCTCTTGCCGTAAAGGTTTGCCTTGACGAGACCAGGGAATGTAGTTTGTTCAGCATTTTCCGTGGAAGTAGTGATAGAGCAGCGAGAGACTTTCCGCACCCCGCTTGTGGGAGAGAGAGGTTGGAGAATGGAGAATAACTTGTCACCTATAAGGGCCCGGAGACGCTTTTAGACTGTCAAAGAGAGTAAAGTCTGGGCAGCTCCCGCCCAAATATGACAACATTACTTTTCGCCTGATCAGGCCCTTGTAAAAGTAGAGGATAGCAGGAGTTAGGTACTTAGTGGCGCCATACAGGGAACTGACCTTCCACTGAACCAGAGGAGGTGGCGTTCATTGACTAACACAGAAATTGAACTCACAACAACCTGCTAAGCAGCGACACTAAATCAATATTTAAATTAACACGGGTATTGTCTCGAAATATATCATCTCAGACATTTAAGACAAAAATTGTGCTGCTGCGTCAATACCGAAATTTTTTTCAGTTGCCCAGATGAATGAATATTTCCATTTAAGATTTCCACCGAAATTGAGGCGCTCTGCTATTTATTAGCTACTGTGATAGCAGTTGGGGTTGCTGAATTGGTCCGGGTAGTGTATCTATGAATATATTGTGTCAGGAACAGCACTGTTTTACGTCGATTTTGCAACTGAGTCAAAATTTCAGCAAATTCGATAAGGAAATGAACCTTAAACACACCTACTAACAAAGAACATCGTGTGTTTAATAAACGTACGGAGTTAGGTTTGGTATTTAAGTTTATTCTTGCTCTCATCTTTGTTATTAAGGCGGGCAATGATAAATAATAAGGCGAGATATCCCAAGACATGGATAAAGGAACGAGAACAATCCACCTTCGTAAATGGCGCTATTCGAAATTCTTTGAAGGTTATTTAGACCGAGTGACACCTGAAGAAGTCAATGATTAACGACCGAAACGTTTCTGAGTTTAGACAAGGACTATCTGCCGATTTCGTCGGACCGATTTGAAAACAAAGAAAATGTTTTGAATTTATTTTCATTTTTTATTTCATTTTTTTTTTTTTTTGCTATATCCGGCAGCAAGGGCTCTGACCGAGATATTAAAGATTTTGAGGAGCGTGAGACCAACTATTAATTGCTGTTCTTCCCAGGTCCGCCCTGACCCGGAGTGATAGCACCTGTTAGTTAAGCCAAAACAAAATCAAAACGAACATGAAAGTATAAAAATATATTTTATAGTAAAAATACCAGCAATACATTTTTAGATAAAAAAAATTAACAACAATACATATGTATAGAACGACGAACAATGCATTTTATCTGTAGTTGAAACATACAATTGCGTTCAAAATAACTAGGTTTCGGCATTAACTAACCCATAGATATGCTGTTAAACAAAATCAACCAACCAAACAATCAAAATGAAATAACTCTTTCATGACATTAATCCATATAATATCCTAATCCATTAATCCCTATAATATCCGACAATTTCTAAATTGTATTCCAAAATATAACTCACAAATCACCGCCTCTCGTAAACATGTCCACACAAACATGTATATGCAGAAAAGCTGCGTGTCATCTACCATGTATTCAATTGTGAAAGCAGAATAATATATATCCTATTTTTATTACTTTAAAGCTCCCAAGAAAATTAAACTTCAGCATTGAATGACCCATAAGATGTTGATATGCCGTTAAAAAACAATAAATCAACACCGATGCAGCATATTTATATAAAAATGAACGGTACAACTGCAGAGTTTATTTCAGCAATGAAATCCTGCTATACACTTAATATATTTCTTCATATAATTATTTATTAAACTTAGCCTAGTCAGACAGAAGGCACAAATTATGGAGCACCGATTGAAGATTATACTAAACAATGGCGTGAAAAACAAACTTACTAAATATCACGCTATCATAGTCGCCAGTTATGCATTGTCAATTTTGGATACGCAATTCAAAAGCTGGTTGCAGTTGGTGACTTTTCCGGGTGGGGAGGGGCGAAGAGGGAGTAGACATAGGTAACAAAAATTGCAAGGAAAATCCATATCAGGTAGGGGGCGGAACACCTCATTCTATCTCCTCCTCCTCCACCTCCCACAAATATCCATTTCTGCGACTCCGCCCACACCAAAGTAGGTGATTATTTAGCGTACAGAGTTAACACGCCACAACGTTTATTTTATTTGTTTTTAGAATTGGAATCGGAAAGAAAAAAAATTGTGGATTGTAAGGCTTCAACTTTTTTTTTTTTAATTTGAAAATCATTCCTTTAAATATTTTGGCGTCATTCTTTTTAACAAATCTGTCAACACAGATGTTGTTTAGTCTTTTTCTTCTCGATATCATGAAGAACCAAAATTACTGCATGTAAAAGGATAATGTCTAAATACTTTAAGTTTTAAGAAATAGTGAAAATTTTAAGTCTCTGAAGATAATTTTAGTTTGGTAATTTTTCCAACTGGAAATATAGTAAATTTTACAGAACACTTCACGACTCTTAATTCGGCAGCCTAGTAAGAAAAACGAGACGGGAGACAATTCGCATCGTAATAAGAAAATTCCATCCATGAAAAAATGTTATTTAGATCTGAAACGTTGATTCTGAAATTCAATTTTATTTGAAAATGCCTAGTTAAATTTTTTTTTTTTTCATAAATTATCTGCCTTGCTCAAAACACGTTATCGCTGTTATTGTTTAATTATAAGTCGTTTCAGATTTTAAAATCGCTCTTTTGTAGCGTTGACTTCGATTGCGTCAGTCTTTACTTTTCCATAAAACCAACCTATGCAAGTTCCGATTAAAAAACAAAGCGGAAACTTCTCTAATTTTGTTCTTCAAATTAGAGAACGGTAATATTAAATATCACGAATCGGGTTGGGTTTTTTTTTTTTTTTTTTTAGTAAGTACGTTATTTTTCTATCTATAGTCTTGCTACGTAATCCCAGCAGTGACACAAAGGAATCCGCAGTTGGGAAGTTTTTTTCTACGTTGAAATAAGTGTACGTGCGTGTATATTTTGAAGTCTTTTCTCTCCTCTCGGTAAGTAATCGTCTTCAAACGATTTTTTTCTTGGTTTGAAAGTCGATTGGTAGAAATAGGAACTTTAAGTCTATCAAGAGGACCCCTCAAGTATTTAGCACCCCCCCATTCTCTGGTTTTGTTTATCTCCCCCTCTTTTTTTTTTTTTTTTTTTTTTTTTTTTTTTTTTAGGTTAAATACGAAAATGCACCCAGATAAAACTAGAAACTGATATTAATCGGAAGAGAGAGAAAATTTAATTGACATTATTTTCCTTTATTTTATTGCCTATAAATTAAGTTAAATGTCATTTTCAAAGTTGACGATTTATAAATTTGCTAACTCTACTTCGGGATGGATTTTACTTAATCACAATTGGTCAAGTAACTCGGATTAGTCGATACATTTAACTGCTTGTAGTTAATTCTTTTGTACATAGAAACTCTTATGAAACTCTAAATCGAACAAAGCAAAGAATTTTTAAAAAATGACTGCCTTTGTGAAAGGTACTTCGTCATGTTTATCGTGCTGTTTCTTTACACCCCCCCCGCTTCGGAGTGCTCTATTATACCCCTGGTTTTGTGTCTTAATAGTGTCTGGTCAATATCTAATATCAATAGTGTCTGGTCAATATCTAATATATACGCGCCTGTGAAACTGAAGAGATGAATTTCTTTTCCAAAACTTAGGGTTAACAATATTTGGTTGTTTTGACCATAACGCGCTTTTCCTTCAATTTTTTTTTTTTTTTTTAAATTTCGGAAGTATTCACGTAATAAAACAAATTACGAATTATTTTAATCTGTGATATTGGGAAGGTCCCGCTTCGTAGATCAATTTAATTGCGTTGTTTCCCATTGGTGCTAATGGTCTACATTCAGTCTCACTTAAAATGTAGATCTTTGAATGTTTCCATTAAGACTGGAACAATTACCTTAGACCAATCTTCCTCAGGAGCATCCTAGCTTATATGTGAACCTGACAACGCTAAACTTGGTCATTTGAAACCAGTTTCTAAACATTTCTGAGAGTGTTGAGAAACGTATTATGTAATTAAGAGACAATTTTATCATCAAAATATTAGAAGCCGCTTTCCAAAAGAAAAAAAAAACCTTTGAGTTGCTAATGAGATCTTTTTTATCTTGTATGCGAAAAGCTGACTGGCTAAAAGAAGACTTTCAAGCTACACAAGTTCGACATAAACTTTTAGATTGTCCTTGTGTTTACTAAGTACTGCTAAATTTCACCATAAGCCTAGAGCACTTAGTGTTGATCGAACTCGCTACTCAGTTGTTCTCAGATAAGTTTGCTAAACACAATGACCGGTCGCTAGAGAAATGTCTTTGTAATAAATGTTCTTCAAACCCATCTTAGTCTGAATTGTCATTAAGAACACTTGGATTTTTTTCCTTTTGCAGGCGGTTCCATCATGATGGTGAAACAGCAACTCTTCCTGGCAGTAGTTTTAAGCGCCTTTTTGCTAGGCCAGGCTCCGGCCACCCTCTTAGCTGCAGATTCTCCCACTGCTCGACAATTGCCCGGCACGCCTCCTCCTCCGCCGCCGCCGTCATCGCAACGGAGACACGAGCAATCTCGTCTCCATGACGAAATGTTCCGGGAATTCGAAGCTAACCTCTTGCGCCTGTTTGGCATGAAAGAGCGACCAAAACTTGATGGCAAGCCCATCATACCGAAATATATGCGGGATTTATACAATGAACACAAGGTGAACACGGATCCGACCAGCGGACGTGGATATTTACCCGCCAACACTGTAAGAAGTTTTTATCATCAAGGTAAGGAGTTATCAAATCGGAACATCATCTCCTATGGCCTTGTGCCACATACATCCCTCGTGGGGGTGGGGCTGTTAAATATTAACATCATCTCCAATGTACTAAAATTCTTTTAGACGTTTCGAGGAGCTGGTCAGACTGAAGCATAAGTTAGAATTTTTTCTCGGAAAATAAATTAATAAATATGGCTTCTTTCATTGAGTTCAAATTACCACACACACACACACACACACACACACACACACACACACACACACATATATATATATATATATATATATAAAAAATTAAAATAAAATTTTATACACACTGGGTTGTAGATTAATATTCTTTCGTTTTTGGGTTTTTTTTTTCACTTAGATTCCTTGACTAGTTTCGACCAAAATGGCCATCGGGAGGAGAAATGTTTCTGCTTGCTGGTAGCAGTAAACTACAGAATATATATATATATATATATATATATATATATATATATATATATATATATATATATATATATATATATATTGAACCTTTATTTCCCATCCAGTTTTGTTAATAAATGGTCATTTACATTAGTCTAAAACTCTGGCTTTAACTTAAATCTTCTAAATGTTGAAATCTTGTAAACTTTTTATAGGAACAGAATCTTTATAACTTAGAATTCTCACCCCCCCCAAATATTTGGTAATTGGCTTTGAACTCACTTGATTCGGCAAAAGTTAGAACATCTTTTTTCCTCCCCTTCCTTTGTTTGTCGAAATGAGAAACCTCTAAAGCCTGTAGTCTTCATTCTCTTACAAGATTGAATGAAGATGAAAGGGGATTGCTTCGTTTATTTTTTTCTCCGCTACTTGTACAGTTGATAGCGAGCATATTGGGTAGATATGTTTTCAAAATTTTTGAATGAGTGCTCAGAAAAGTTATATCCGAAAAGTTAATTTGAACCCTGTTCGCAGAATATCCTTTCGATCTAAACCAGCATCACAAATTCGATCAATATAAAATAGACGCTCAACTCTGGAGTCATGACTGACAGGTTGCTTATCTGGGGACATCTTGAGTCTCTTACTGGATGTTGCGCCTTCGTGGGAATCATTGTCTAACGCCTTTGTCTTTTTTTTTTTTTGTCATTGTCGTGACAATACCGTGGACAATGCGTTGATCTGAAAAATATGCAAATGTCCAGGATGTAGCATTAGATCCAAACTGCCCCCCCCACTCTACATTCTATGGTTGTCTGAGGTATTGATCATCAGCAAACTGATTATGCAGACAGCTCGATTTTGTCGTGAATTCGGACATCATTTTCATTAACTTGTACCAACCTTAGTTTTTAATTATTTTTCTGCTATGATAAATAAATTCAAAGATTTCACATTATTTTTTCTCTTGTCGAATTTTCGTTTGAAGTTTTTTTTTGGGGGGGGGGGTCTTGACACTTCGATATGGTGTAAGGCTTAGCAAGCTTGTCTCGCTAGATCAATTTCGAGTGCCTAGTGAATTCGATCCTCACTGGGTGCCCTATGCTTTCGGCCTTGTGCCACAACTAAACTACGCTTAGAAAATCACTATACGTGGGGCGTTCTGAAAAACTCTCGCACCAACCAAAGATTTCTGTTTAAAAAAAACAAAAAATCATTAACAAAGGAATCAACTAGAGAATTTCTCATCAACCTTCGTAGAATTAAAATTTTGAAGGATCAAAATTCATTTAAGTGAAATAGTCTATTTTTGATTTCTGTATGGAAAACTTTCTTCTGAGTTGGGAGTAAAATGAATAGAATTACTTTATTTTAGAAATTAGCTTTTTATTTCTTTGTCCGATTTTATATATAAAATGCCGTGCTAAATAGTAAATTTACAATGTCTGTATTTATACAAGTAGCAGACTACTACACTCTGAAATACGGTAGGCTAGAAAGAACAAGATTTTGTGACAAGTAATGTCAATTCGTGTTTTTGTAATGTTATAAGTACATTATTGATATTTGTACCTGTAATTAAATGGTCCCCAAATCGGGGTTAAATTTACATGGAAATTAAACATCTGATGGTATAAATATGGACACAAAACAGGTAAAGTTTACAATTTTATTTATATATATTCACATTGTGTACGTAAATGAAAGGCATACTTGAAAACTGGTCTCGAATGTATTTGAAGTTTGTGGAAACGGCACGAGTTTTTAACCGAGTCGGACTAAATAAGGAGAAGGCAAGATATCCATAGACATGGAACAAGAACAATCTGCTTCCGCAGATGCACGGTTTTAGTTCAAAATTCTCTGAAAGTTACGAGATTGACTAAGCTGGAGAGTACAACAGGCAAAATCTTGTGATCATAACAAAAAAGATGAAAACTATAGCTCGTATTTAAATAAATATTCATCTTAGAAATTTAGACGGAAACGATTCTTTCTCTTCTCCAGGCTATATAAAACTTTGTTTTTATTATTATTACTACTACTATTATTAAACAACATGGTCGACGTAAATCTTCCAATATTTTTCAATAATCAAGAGAAAAACGCGATTTAAGTCATTGACAATGAATGTCTGTCTTAAAGTTATATTTTTTTAAAATTTCAAGTATAAAAATTCATTATTATTAATAATAATTCTACTAGAGTTTAATGTATGTTCATCGCCCGTACCACCAGCAAAATCCGAACACTTCTTAGAATCTAAGTCGATCTAATTTTCTTTTGCAGATGATCTTCCAAACAACTGCGATGAAGAGAATGGCTGGACGCTAACATTTAATGTTTCCAATATTGTTAATGAGGAAATTCTAACGGCGGCTGACTTACGCATTTTTCTGGATTCTTCTAAAATCCAACGAGACTCTTTTAGTACTGGGGGTGAATTTAACAACGGAACAAGCACTCGGTATTACAACTGCAATGTCAACCCAAATATCAACGATAGCATTGAAAACAAAAACGCGTGTAAGAAGAAACTTTCTCTTCGGGTCGAAGTTCACGAAATCATGGCCCCAACCAGCCGGCGTCGGACAGGGGAGTGCATTACGCGGCTCCTCGACACAAAATTAGTGCAGAGCAGCCATAGCAGTCCTTCGTTGTGGCTTGTATTTGACGTTCACCCAGCCGTCCACAAATGGAGGCACTCTCCTCAAACAAACCATGGCCTCAGCATTCGCATGTCGACGGCCTCTCGGATGCCGGTCTCCGTGCAACCACACCATCACATCCGCTTAAAGCGAGAAGCAAATATGGAACACGACGATTGGCACAATTCTCGGCCCTTGTTGATCACTTACTCAGACGACGGCAAGGGAGCGCCCATCTCCTCGCGCAAACGCCGGAGCCCGAAGAACCGACGTGATCGCGGCAAGAAGAAGGGTCGTCGCTCGAGAAAGACGCAGCGTCGACGCAAAGCCAGTCTGGAATGTCGACGACATCCCATGTACGTGTCATTCAGTGAGGTGGGCTGGATGGAATGGATCGTTGCACCCAGCGGCTACCAAGCACATTTTTGTGAAGGGAAGTGTCTCTTCCCTATATCTGATTATTTGAACACTACAAATCATGCCATCGTACAGACCCTGGTCAACTCCGTGATGCCTAATAAAATTCCGCGGGCGTGTTGTGTACCAACAGAACTCAGTCCGATTTCTATGCTTTATGTCGACGAGCAAGAAAAGGTAGTTTTAAAGACGTATCAAGACATGATAGTAAATGCGTGCGGCTGCCGATGACAGAGCTTTTTTTCAAATCGAACGCTTTTTACTAAAACGTCAAAGGCCGCACTGAGATACGGAAGCATTGATGGAAGACACTAGACAAAAACAAATTGATATTATTATAGGTTTTTGTTCACGATATTTATATGAAGTAAAAGTGCGGTAGTGTGAGCTGAAACATGCCAATTGGTCTGTCTTGTTTCTTTTGAATTTGGAACACTTAAATCGTATTCGAAAGAATGTTTCTTGTAAGAATATTAAAAAAAAAAAAAAAAAGTCTAGAGGAACGAACTACACATCTAACATTTTAATACTGTTCACCTTTTGTCGCGTCAAATTTTCGGAAAGCAATTCTATTTATTTCTCAGCCATTACTGTACTGTTGCGCGTTACAGACAAAATGGACAGCATTTAATTTTTCGGGTTTTTCATGTCCGGAATGAAAAGTCGGCTATCGGCCTCCCACCCACCAAACAAAACTTCTCTCCCCTCCCCTTTCTTGCCTTTGACCTTCTCCAGACACCTACTATTTAATTCCTTTCCAGTTCTTACTAGTTGCGTCTGGTAACTCACTCCTACCATTGACCAGCAAATATGTTGAAGTCTGGAGATTGCCTCAAGTCTGGAGCCCTACACACATGCTTACAAATTCTTTTAAAAAACGAAACTTTTTCTTTTTGTAAACAAAAGCCCTCTCTTCACACGAAATATTTGTATATTTTTATTTAAAAAAAAAAAAAATTTAAAAAACTCATCTGAGCACTATGTCGTAAATAAGACATAGCATTTTTTTTTGCAACTGGACGACTGAAAAAGAAATCTCCTTTTGCCTTTTGTCACCAGGACTTTCTTAAAATGTAATTGGAAGGAACAAATGAATTAAACACTAATTCTTACCTACTCCCAACATTTTCTTGAAAACAAAAAAAAACTAAATAGAATACGCAAAGGTTGTGGAGCCATATAAACTGATCGATACGTCGACTTGTTTCCCTGCCTTTGTCCGGCGATATTGATCACGTGATTAGACTTTGAAACCAGATCATAATTTTCCCCCGTAAAGACATAGCCGACATAATTACTAAATGTAAATATTTGATTTAATCTATTACAGCGATGGACGGAGGCTTCTTACCACCGATGTTCTCCGTTCGTCTCGTTTTAAAGAAAACAAAACTGTTTGTTTCTTATTTTACTGAATGTTTTTGTGCGCATGCGTCAAGAACGAACGGATTGTGTGCGTCTCCTTTGGTGCGGGTTTGTTTTTTTTTTTTATGTCTACAATTTAATTTATACTTCATCTTAAGTCTTGTCTTCTGCTAATACACACAGAAAACAATGATTGACCTAAACATTCAAAATCGTTTTGTCTCTTTCTCTCTTGCAGAAATCTTTCGTCAATATTCGTTTGGCGACGCGGCTTTCGTTTTAGAAACGCATCTTTTTAAACTTGAGTTTGTAAATTATTTTTTTTTTTTTACTCAAGTTTTCTTCCTTTTATAGCTCTCTACAATCGTAAAATGCGATTTGATAAAAGAAATAGTTTCTTGGGATTAGTCTGCTAGTAAACTTTAATTCAATCAGATCTTTTTATTAAATGCCTTAATGTTGATATTTACTAAGCTAGCTTATTACAATAAACACTTCGAGACTGAAATTAATTCGAATGTATAAAAGTGACCCTCTTCTATAACATGAGGCCCAGCTTTGTAAATGTTAACGAATCGTAGGATTTATTTAAAATTTCCTTTTCATTCAATTTTCTTTACTTCGCAGGTCTTATGGGAAAAGTACCTAAATTTGCATCACAATCTAATTATAATCGTATGTTATTTCTCTGTAAATATCGAAGCGTTGCAATTGCGTGTACAAAAATTTTAACGAAATTATTTCACTAAGTCTTCCATAAAATTTTTAGGTTATATGTAATTGTGGGTATTTGAAATCTTTTTAATCAGTTTGATATTAGCAAATCAAACGGAGGACTGCTATTCATAATCCCAATTTAATTGTAGTTCATTAACATGCTCGTGAAACGAAGAAATTGATTTACATATGCATTTTCTTATGTAAATTCGTCTACTTGTAAAATAACTGTAGACTTAACGCCTTAACTGTCGGTATAACATTTTAAAAGCCACGTGGCGCAAAATCAATCTATATTCCTTGAAGAGTAGTTTTGATTCGCTCCATTTCTCCTTAGAAATCTTTGCAGTCTTTAACTTTCGTTCCCGCCAAAAGACGCAGTAGCGAAAAGGCGGTCTCCCTCCCCCCCCCTTGAAACCGCTATTCTTCAACTGTCTTCAATCCTCGGCAATGTTCATTTCAAAAAGTGACGATTAGAATTATAATGAAATATAAACATAAAATGAAAGTTAATTTATACATTTCTTGTTCTTGAAAATTTACAACAAAAATATTAAACATAATTTATTTACAAGTACATAAAGACTATTGTATTAAAACTAATGCAAAGCAATATTTATCATTTACTAATTTAAAATATGCCAACCAACTATAAAGAAATCCTTATTTCGAGTTTTATAAAATTCGAATCGATTGGCAATTGGCTGATGTCTTGCTAACCATTTCAAGAAGAAATATAATAAACCATATCAAAGTATTTATTTTGTTTTCAGTCCTCAAGAACAAAGAAAATGTATAAATTAACTTTCAGGTTTTATTACAATTTCAATCATTGATTTTTAAAACTATAAACCTTGCCGAGTAGTGAAGGTAGTTAAAATAATAGTGGTGTCAAGGGGAAAAAAACCCGTCCTTTTGAGACTTTTTGTTTTGCGGTCACGAAGATTGCCGAAAATTTTACTTATTGATTTTCCTCTAAGATAACTTTGTAAAGTAAAAACTTGATCTACTGGGAAGTAAGAACGCAAACATTTTACTTCTACAACGTGTCATGATAAAAAGTTTAACTAATTTGTAAATTTTATCGAATTTTAGGATTTACATAAAAATTTGCGTTCCATCTTCTGATAAGAAATTATGTGGGTAGAAAGTATCGCAGTTTTCAAGAATTTTAAATAAATTTCCAATAAATATCATCAGAAACAAATTCATTCATCAATAGACTTCATGATAATTCATTTCAGTGAAAATTTTTTTTTTTTTTTTTTTTTTCCGCTCCTTGGAAGTACAACAAAACCGTGCGTTTGTCAATCAATTTATTGCTTTAGTGAAAATCTAAAAGAGAAAGCCTTCAGGATTTTCTCTCAGTTAGAATTTTTTTTTTTTTTTTTTTTTTTTGAAACGTTCGATATCAACCTTTAACCTACGTACCCGCAAAAATAACGGCGTTTTTTGGGGGTTTTTTTTTTTTTTTTATCTTGACACAGTTATTACACTATACTCTCTCGGCAATTTTTGTTTAAAAAAAAAAAAAAATTTTTTTAGGATTTTAATAAAATCCAAATACATAAAACCGGGACTTCTTTCTTGCTCTTTTTCTTTTTTCTTTCTATCCCTATTTTTTTTTTTTTTTTTTTTTTCCTTGAATTAGCAACAAAAATACATTGTAGAAATATCTGACCCAATTACAATGCAATATTTATTATTTACCATATGAAGAAATAAGTATGAAAAAGATTCTTTATTCAGAAAACTATAAAAAAAATAAATCTAATCTACGAGAACAAAAAATTAGGTAAATGCATAAGTAATTATAAATTTCAAAAGAAAAAAATTCTATGGATCCATGGAATTTTTCAGACATTGCTTTGGCTGATTCTCTCCACAGAAATTCACTAAAATAGTTCAAGATCTGGATTTATATACATTTTTTTAAATTGTAATTACGAGTCAGTTTTCATTCCAATTTTCTTGTTTTATAATTCAAATATATAATGGTAAATAATTGGTTCCTATATTTTGATAATCATGGAAATCTAAAATTATTCTTGTAAATAAGCTAGTGTCTAGAATTTTAGTTGTCAATTTTCGAGAAAAAAAAATGTATAAATCCAGTTTCATAAGTTTTTCTTAAAGTAATATTAATAGCTTTTAAAATCTGCTGAGGGAGCCGAGTGAGTATACAGTAATAACGTTGTAAAGAGAAAAAGCGTCCGATTGTTAAACTTTGCCCAACTTATTTTCTTTAATTTCGCCCCAAAATAGCGACACCCACTGATGACTGAAATCTCTGTTCAGTACTTATCAGGCTCACTACCCATTACCCAACTCCGAGGTGCCCACCTACGTTCAAATTCATGGCAATCATGCTCTGTAATGAAACAATATTTTATTACCTTGTTCAATAATACCAATTCTAAAACCGTTTAATTTCACCAAATGTACAGCAGAACTTTCCGTGTAGTCTTCTTGATCGTCTCAATGTTTGTAATGGTTGGGAAACATCCTGAACGGAATTCCTCACTCAGTCCAACGCAAAATATACTCTTCTCTACATCACCAATAATCTGACCAACAAAGATTTTTGTTTATCTTTGATTACTTTGTCGGGTTTCAGTTCCTGCTTGATCCGAATTATTTGATGTGACTTCGTAGACAATTCCCAGATTTTACGTTGAGGAATTCTACATTGCTTTCAATAAATCATTAGTAAACTTATCTTACTCTCACTAACCAAACCTCTTGAGATCAAAATCGCACTCGACCTCCAAATTCAAAAGAACACAACACATAAACGACGTTTTTTATTTGCTTCTGGCGACTTGGCGTATAAGACGATTTCAAATTTTCAAATGGAGGTTTCGCAAAAATCAAATTTTCAAATAGAGGTTTTGCAAAATCGTATTTTAAAATGTTTTATATAAAATTCATTAAATAAATTCAGTAAGCATATATTTTCTTTTCACTCAAATTCTGATGAAAAAACAGTGGAGATATATTGTCAGTTAACTATCACACCATCTCGAATAGCTCATGACAGTGCTGCTTTTTTTGTTTTTTGTTTTTTTAGCAGAGGTTATTACGTTAGCCTGAAT